ATCAATTCAGAAACTGTTTTTGTCATGCCTAAAAATAAGGGATATTTTGTTTTGTATATTTGACTCAAGCTCTATTTAAAGAGAAAATGAATAACAACTATGATATTCTTCGTGAAATATATATGCTCTTCCCTTTCATTTTTTTGATCTAATTTCAACAAACTAGTATCAAGAGCTTTCATCTTGAGGGATCTGTGAGTTGAGAGAAACCATAATGGAAGCAGACACATCACACATAATACCACCACCAGTTTTTGATGGTGAGGAGTATGACCTATGGGCTGCAAGGATGACTACCCATCTTGAAGCACTAGATCTTTGGGAATCGATAGAAGAAGACTACGTAGTTCATCCACTACCTGAAAATCCTATCATGGCTCAACTAAAGAATCACAAAGAGAGGAAGATAAGAAAGGTCAAGGTCAAAGCTTGTCTTTTCTCTTCGATTTCAAAATTCATATTTATGAGAATTATGAATTTGAATTCTGCGAAGGACATTTGGAACTACCTCAAATCAGAGTATTAGGGTAGTGAGCAAACCAAAGGTGTGAAGGCACTAAACTTGGCCAGAGAATTCGAGATGCAGAGCATGAAGGAGACAGAAACTATCAAAAGTTATGCTGACAAACTGTTGAGCATTGCAAACAAGGTACATCTACTCGGTAAGGATTTTTCTGACTAAAGGATAGTGCAAAAAACACTTGTTACTGTACCTAAAAAGTATGAGTCTGAAATATCATTAGAGGAGTCAAAATACTTGTCAAATATCACCCTTAGAAAATTGGTAAATGCTTTACAAGCACAAGAACAGAGCAGAATGATGAGACATGATGAGGTAGTACAAGGTGCTTTTCATATAAAAGCACAATAAGAAGAACAACAAATGGAACAACAAGTTTCATATCTACCCTTGACCGAAATCTTTGATCTTGGGGCTGACCTCTATTGATGCTCTCAATGAAGCAGCCACCTTAAAGTTGGCTTGGAATTTTATCTATTCCAAATAACAATGGGCCATTTTACAAGAGCTAGATTTTTGCGACGCCGATCCCTTATGATCAGCTACAAATCGTCTTCAATTAGGCCTTCAGTTTTTCTTCACTAGCAATATTTCATTGATAACACAAGGTGGATTGTTGAAAATGCACAAAGTGTAAACTTTTGGACTGATACATGTTCAGCCTTTGAGACAACAGATTGCATGGCCTATGCTTCTATGGTCCAAAGTTATCCCTCTCTCTAGGTCGTTTCTATTTTGGCGTCTGTTAAGAACAGATTAGAACCTATGTCCTCGTTGAGTAGTTGTTGTCTCTATCAATAGTCTTTGTGGTCAAATGGAAGAAACAACAACTGATCATTTATTCCTTAGGTGCTCGGCTGCCATATGAAACTGTGGCCCTAGTTACAGTCCATTATTAAGCAGCTTATTGGAACACCCAGGCAAAAGATATCATTGCCTTTGCAATAGTACATACAATTTGGGTTGTTTGGTTTAACAAGAAAACTGCGCTTTAGAAACTACCTCATATGATGATCTCGGCCACATCCTTATCGAGTACATTATCTTTGGGGCTTGCATCTCACACTTGGTGAGAGGTATATTAATGCTTAAAAGGTTGCATGCTACTATTCGTCCTCCTAAAAGTACAATTATAAAACAAGTTGATTAGCACCCTCGGGTGTGTTAGGTTTGTTAAATGTAACACGGACGGTGAGACTAGAGGCTCTCCAGGCCATGTTGTAAGTGATGTGATTTTCAAAGACCCAAGTGGAGCCTTCCTTGGTGAATTCACTTCGTAATTGGGTTTATGAATGTCATGCATGCTGAACTTTTAGGTGTTATATTGACTATTGAATTTGTCTATGATATCGGTTGACACACTCTTTGGCTATAATGTGATTCCATGTTGGTTGTTGAATCACATACTAATGTTGATATTGTTCCTTTTGAAATAAGTAGGTGATGGAAACATTGTTTGAAGTTTTGTTTCAATATGAGATTTTACTCGCATATCTTTAGGAAAGATAATCAATGTATGAATAAGTTAATAAATTATTGTATAGAATATAGAGTTGAATTTATTTGGTGGAATATATTGTCCTATTTTATTTGGGAGGTGTTTTTCACAATTATTGTAGTTTACCTTTCTTTAGGTTTTGTTAATTCCATGGTTTTGGTCTAAGATCTTCATTATTCTTTTTGTTTTGCTATATATAATATGGTGTGTTGTAAATGATTAGTAGACGAGAAGATGTCAACATTATTTGGATGTCCCTATCCCATAATGATATCGTGCACGCCTAAATTTTATTTTAAGAAATACTAAATAAATATCTTTAATTAAATATATTTTCCATAAATTAGTATAAATTATGTGATAATTTTATAAATATATAAAATAAATGTACACACGGATATTATTATTTTGTATATATATATATATATATATATATATATATATATATATATATATAAAGTTTAGTTTGGATTTGATAGGTTGTTAAAATCAAATTTTAAATATGATCTATTCTAATAAAAGTTTTTAAGGTAAAATGCACTTTTAGTCCTTTTATTTTTTATCAAATCTTAATTTTGATCCTACAATTTTAAAATAGAGATATTTAATTCATTTAATTTTAAAAAGTACAAAATTTTGATACTTTTATCAAATTGATATCAATTAATTACTAAGTTTTAACGATTACTTAAACTTAAGTGATGTGACATTTAATAATATGATATTTAGATATTAAAAAAAATAGATGGAATAGCCTTTGCCAAGAGACCTATTACAAGGGTTATAGCTAGGAGAATCCAAAAAGATTAAGCCATGAATAAGCTTAGTGGGCCTAAGCTCATTTTGAGTTATAAGATAGAGTAACATACACACTTGCCATATGACAAGCTCTTATTGGCTAGTTTAAATCTAGAGCACATGAGAGCATATGGCTTCTAGAGCCATTGTCTTTGGTGCCACAATTTGAATTTAATTTAAATTGATTGGCACACCCCCTTGACTCATGGTTGGGTAATTATAGTTAATTTTTAATTTTGGTTGCTTAGCTTACTCTTTAAGCTAGCTTGCTCTATATACTCTTAGAGCCTTGTAGTTCTTGTCACTTTTGATGCATATATGAGATTAAATTTCTAAATTTTCTCTTCAAAAGTGAAATTCCTTAAGATCTTTCATCAAGGAACACCTCCTTATGACAAGATCTTCACATCTTGGCTTATCCTTCCTTGAAGGTGGCATTCCCTCGCTCTCTTATCTACAATCTTTCAAGTTTTGTTTTGCATCTTAGAGCCATGGATGAAAATTGGAGGACTTAGAAAGCAAAGTGGAAGAAACCGTTCATTCTTCTCCACTAGTTTTCCATCAAAAACTTAAATAACATGTTAATAAGATTTATTAATAAAATAAACAAAAATCATTAGTTAAAATAAATACAAACAAAGATTTTTTGGTCATATCCTTACACAGCACATCATTAAATATCATATCATTTAAGTGGTGACAATTACATTGTCAAATTTAATGATCAACGAATAACAAATTAAAAGTAAGACTAAAAGTTTAAAATTTTGTTTTTTAAAAAATATGATGACTAAATGTCTATTTTAAAATAATGGAGGGATCATCTCAACTAAGAGTAAGTCTTGGTAAATGTACTTCACTCAATAACTGATGTTTTGCATTAAATTTAACAATTCAACTGTTAAATTAAAATTTTTTATTGTATATATCATATCTACCAAATTTTAAACAATTTGAAAATTATTTGATACTCTATTTCGTTAATTCAAATTGATAGATAATCAGAAAAGATTTTTATTTGTTAATTTGAATCTATATGACGAATTATCATACAATTTTTAATATTTTTTTTATTTTTAGACTTAATTTATATATTAAGAACTTTTAATTCAACGGTTAAATCATTAAAACCTGATATATAACATGAGTTATTGAGTAGAATAAGTTTACAAAAATTTACTTTTGGACCAAGTTTAAAAAGATTTATTCTTGAAGTAAGTAAACTTCTCATCTTTAAAATAAGGAGACAAAATTGCATATTGAAAAAAATCAAAAATAAAATCAAAAATACATCTTATCTAAAATTTTAGCTTACTCAATTCTCAATTTAATTCAATTTTTAATTGTGTATTTAATTCATTTCTTTTTTACTTTTTTAAATCAATTGTTTTTGTTATCATTTCTATCACCAACTTATAATAACAACCCAACTACTACAAAGGACAAAATTTAAATTAATAAATAAAACAAAATTTATATTTAACTTCTTATATTCTTGCAATTAAATTTTCAAATTAAATTACGCATGGATTTTGATTTTTCTTCCATAAACTCCTCAACATATTCTTTTATAATACCTTTTTTTTTATCATATTGTAGGTGCAACATTTTTTACAATTACCTTTTGTATAATCTCATCTTCAATTACAATTTTTTATCCATTAGGTTTAAATTCAAGACCTTAAAGAATCTGAGTTTAGTTCTACTCGAGCTAACATAATGTTAGTTTATTAAATTATGGATAAAACTTAGCTACAGTTGATATTTTTCTTCAATTAAAATTGAAATTTTACCTTAGTCATATGCGTAAATGTACATTAATGAGACATGTATTAAATACAAATACATAATATTAAGATAAAATTCTAATTCAGGTAGGAGAACAATACAATTACTCCTAAAAAAAATATACCTAAGTTTTATCTTTAAACTATTTGCAGTTACGGAAAAAATCTATACAAACTTAATGGCAAAAGCATATCAAACCTGATTTATATTTTCTCCTAAACAAAATGACCAGCAAAAAATGCAGGGAGAAAACCCAAGAGGTCATAATAACTCATCATAATGCTGCTATGCAAAAACTGCATGAACTAGCAAAAGGTCCCCAAAGAAGCTCCGCTTTCCCCTTAGATAAATTTCTTCCTCCAAAAAGACCAAAAACAATTCAAGTACCCAAATACAAAATCCTTGAACCTTTCAAATTCCTTTAATTTTAACATTGAGATTACATTACCTATAAATGGAAATCATCACTGGAATATTGTAACAAACAAATTCCTTAAACGCCGTCTCCCCACAAAAAAATATGTATATTCAATTATCAAACAAATAATTAACTAATGCACATACTACAAACGACATTTCTAGAACTATTTTACTATACAGCAATTTAAGGCCAGCGCCAGTGCCAATTGCTATTACGCATTGTTTCAGATTTCACCTGTTCCAAGAGGTTGCCTCGAGGTATCTCCGGTTGCCCAAGCTTGATAATCTTTCACAAGCTGATTTATAAAAACATATAACAAATAAATCAAATTCATAAATTGTGCAGTATCAAAATCTAAACAAAATTATATCTGACAAGCAGTTCATCATTGAACCATAAACTCTAGCTACTGGTAGTTCACTCAACAAGCTTGTCTAAGTTGAACCTATAAAGAACCAATGGACTGGAATGAAATCAATAATAAAGTAAACCATAAAAAGATTGGCTTAATTGTACTTTTTTCTCCCAAAGTTACACAATTTCACGAATTTTGCCCCAAAGAATTTTTTTTCACGAATTTTAGCCCCAAATTTACAAAATATTGCAAATTTTGTCTATATGTACTTAAACCGGCACAATTAAGACAATTTTGTAGTGTATATTCCATTAAACTGCTACAAAATTTTCTTAATTGTGACAATTTAAGTATGTGAGAGCAAAATTCACATACACAAAAAAAATCTTCAGGGATAAAATTTGCAAGATTACGCAAATTTGGAGACAAAATGTGAAATTTTAATCCTTGAAAACACAACGTACAAGACTAACACCTTGCATTATTAGAAATTTAAAATATGCTAGCATATACCCATTTAATTTTTACAAAAAGTATTTTAGTAAGTTAAATTAATACTTCAATTTCCTTAAAGTACACTCAAGGCCAAAATAAGTGGTTGTATTTTAGCATTTCAATAGTGGCTTTGCTAACTTTATTATTAGGAGTATTTAGCAAGTTCTAACTTCAATTTTCTTAAAAGACACCGAAAGAGTATCTTACTAAAATACTCCTAGCAAAGGAGTATGATAACAAATCCTGAAAATCATTTTGCGTTGATTTATATAATTATAATGTCATAGATATTGGAAATAATTGGTTAGTCAAATACAATCAAGTTCAAAAGCAAGTTGTATCAACTACCCCATGGAAAATACTAGTTGCAGTGATAGCAAAGTAAAATGACAATGAAAGAAATAAAATAAGAAAATCTGGTCAAAATATCTCAATCTCAACGTGAAGTGCATATAGAAACAAATAACAGGAAGAAAGACAAACAAAAAGTTCGGAAATGAGAAATGAAATGTCATGCTTTCTGTATGCTACTTTAGGTCTTGCCTAAATACAGTAGTCCACTTTAAGAAAGAAAAAGAGGAATGTATTAATGATGGGTTCCATAGCAAGTTAGCATCACTTAGAATACAATCTATGAAATATGAATTATAAGGTTTTGCGAAAGCAATATCTATGACAAACAATCTATTTCTTTATTCTACATTATTAAATAAACAATCAGATTTTATGTGATGTTATAACCAGGTGCAAAACACAAAACGGGGAAAAGAAAAAAAGACAGAATTAAAAATGGTTCGACATACAACAAAACAATAGGCTCATGTCCATGAGGCAACAAAAAGAAAAATACGAGTAGCCACTCAAACCATAATCCTAGAACAATCATACTTTTATTGTGCTAGAGATTTACATCACTCTACAACCTATTGGCTCAATCAAAGAAATACGCAATAATCAAATAAACATGCGAGAAAGCTACTCAAACCATATTCCTAGAACAATCAAACTTTTGTGAGAGATTTATAATAATCTGCAGCCCATTGGCTCAATTCTTCCTTTCCGGCATAAAATCTCTACGAAAGTGAAAACATGGTTTAGCCTTTCAATGAATTTTGTGTAATATTACATTGTGTTTCACTAGTGACAAACATCGATACAACTCATGGCATTAAATTGTTAGTGTGAAGCAGGTTCCAAAGTGAATTCTATTTTTAAGTTCGAGTTCGGGTTTGGCCCAGCATCTGACCAACCCAAAATGTTTTCACTTTTTTATAGACGTCTGGTGCAGTTTTTCTAACAGCAGAATAGGCCCATGCACTAAAGCCAATTAAAAGCATGGAAACTAACAACCTACCAATCAATAAAAGAACCATACTAAAGGTGCTTGCTCGATGTCAAGTGACCACAAGGTAGACAAACCAAATTCCAAAATTGCTAAAACTATTGTTAAAGAATAACCATTCTGAAGAGTTGTCATCAAATCCTCCCCAAGAACCATTATTCCAGTTTCATGTGTATCTGGAATATAAAGTTTTCCAGCTGATGAAACTACTTTAACAAATGAGTGAATAATCAGAGGAAACAAGACAAAACCAGATAGATCTGCAATTTTACAGAGTTGTGTCATTGTTCCACCAAGTAGCATGACATTTATTATTTCAGTTGCAATACTTTCAAAAAGATCAGCACCTCTAGCAGCATAATATCCCACATTGTCACCAACCAGATCAACATAAGCAGCAGGGTTCCTAGAGTCATCTTTAAGTATTCTCTGTTCCACTTTTCCAACAAGATCTGCACCAACATCAACTGCCCTTGTGTAATTTCCACCACCCAACTTAGCAAAAAATGCATCAAAGGAGGCACCAAATCCATATCTAAGTAGAAGAAGAGACACAGTTTCCATTTTGTCCCTACTTTCTCTAAAACTTTTTCAACAACCACCATCATGAATATGAGTTATTTAGCGTGTGCACAAGATAGTCATGCACGCAGTTCTCAGCCACTATTTCCTCTAAGAATTCCTTCCTCTTGCCCTTCTTCCTAATAATTTTACAACTTAGTCGTTGCTTTGATAGCAGCTCAAGCGATGTATGGTGGTGGCAGAAACTTTTCGGGCCACCATAGCATGGCATGGGTCCGGTGGATTTTGTGGAGGAAGCTCAACTGGGCATTCATCACTAATGGCAGCCCATCTGCCTCCCATCTTTGCTTTTCAATTGTGCGAACTGCAAGAAGGATTTCTCCCTCCATCTTCTTCTGACATATCTCTGATGGTCCTGGCTTGATTAGTATCGTTGCAAGTCTGGTGTTTGGTGGCCCTGGGGGAGCTGGTGGTTTGTCCAATCCATGCACAACTTGCTTCATCAAGGTCATAGTCAGTTCATTCAATTGTTTTACCTTCATCTCCTCCGATGTCTGTTTTGATGCACGCATAAGAGGCTTGCACTCCTTTTCCTGCACCCATATAGAGAATTGTTTCTCCTATTTTTGGTTCCTCCTGTGTCTTGGATTGATTCCTTTGATGAGAATGGGTTTCTTTGGTTTGACTCGAACCTATTTTTTTCATACCTCTTCATCTCACCAAGAACTTGAACATTCGTCCAATCTTCCTATATTGGCAATCGCTCGCTGCTATCACTATCGCCAGTCTATCTCTCCAAATCTTCAAGTCAAAGCTACAAAAAAATGATTCCCAATCTAGATCTAGGTACTCATTAACCAAGAATGAAACCAACACATTGCCACACCTTCCATACTCATGAATGCCCAGTGCACCTTATGGAAGAAGGGATTTTTTCAACCTCAGGATTTTCAGCCTTAGCAATCCACTTAATGGGGTCTGTCCCCATAAAGTCTGGTAATTCCACCATTTTGACCAACACGTCCTCCATCTCCAAAAACATTGGCTTCACCTCGAACATTCGGCAAGTCGGACCAATTGTTAGGAACCAAATTTAAGTTAAACTAAACTAATTATTGATTGAAAATATACGTATTACAAGACAAACAATTGTATTCCCAGAGCAAAAGCTCCTCAAAGAAGACATTCCCTTTCTGCCCAAGTCAGAGCATACACTCTAGACTCCCCAATTGAAAATACAAAACTCCACACTCCTTTCCTTCTCTCCTCCTTACCTATATAACATATTCCATTATCTTTTTTTTATTTTTCTCCCCCCCATGACTAACTCTTCCCTCTTTTCCCACCTAATTTGATTCTAAGTGGGACTTGTATATCTGGGCTTGTGGTAGAGAACCTATCAATATTCAATCTTTTGGATTTGAAACATGATCAAAAAATTTATCTTCCTTCCACTTCTCTTCTACTTTCCTCCTACCAAACAACCTCAGCTTTCACTCTATTCCTAACATACTTCACTTGTCTTCTCTTCTCTTCTCTTCTCTCTATTTCTTTCCTCTCTACCAAATACTACCTAACAGATAATTAAAGCATTAGCATAAGATAGGACAAAGGCTAACAAAAAAATTCCAGATACAATTTATAAGAGAAGCAGATGTCTGGATACAAAAATAACATGGCAAATCTGAAAATGATCAGACCCCCAACAACCACCAATGACAAATTCCCAAATAGCCTGAAAAAAAATGCCTCTACTGTCAGTGGGCTCTGAGTTAAAATTGCTAGATGACAGTAAGCAATTCAGTCAACTTGATTCTGATTGCTCTTAGGACTTCATTACAAAGCAGGAGCCTGCTGAATCTGAATTAGTTCAATTGAATGATCCAGCAGAATCTTATATAAAACATCTGGTTGCCTCTGGTTAGTACTTTGATTCATGGGATAAATCTCTATTAAGAGGGGGCACATTTGCAAAGCCTATTTGCCACTCAGTTTTTTGGAAGAATCTCAGAAGAAACTGGTCAAGGAGAATGAAAGATCCAGAAAGGATCAAAATAAGAACAAGTTATAGCACAAGGTTTTGCTTGATTTGTTAAATGAGGCACTTTCCATTGTTCTTGGACCACCTTTGACATTGTCTAGATTCAGAAGGAAACTAAGCAATTTCTTCAAGCAGCCTCCAGCATGTGGAAATGAACTACTGAAGTTATTATGGGACATTGTTCTTGTTTCCTTATGTTCTGTATGTAACACATCTTATTCACTTGATAGTTTGGTGGCACAAGATCTAGGATCTTTCTCCTGTTCTCGGCTAATAAACGATCAGATTGATATATTTGAAAGAGAGATGGCATGTTTTATCACTGATGATTTGGTTGAAGAACTCACAAAGGATATGCTCTTGTAGGTGTAGTGTGAACCGTGAAGTATTATTTTCCTTTTGTTAAGAAAACACATTTTCCGCATTGCACCAAGGCATGTACATGATTACCCCATATAACCAAGATGAAAGATTAATTTCTATTAATAAAAACAACCAGAGCCTATGGCTCCGATCCACTGAGAGACTCTCCTGAGTAAATTAATACAATCAGCATGAATGCTCCCCGTATTCACTGACTGACCTATTAACAACATGATTCTAACAGAATTCCCCGCATATGTCCAACTCAGCATTTATTCTCTCTCCCCCCCTGGGCCCACTTTCTTCCTTCTAGAATATACCCTCCACATGATGGTCCTCTCGGGTTGAAGTCCAGCATCTGATCCAATCCTTGCTCATAACCAGAATTGGGCCCCAGGTTCCCATCACAAGACCAGTTTATCATGATTAGTTTTCATGGCCTTGTTAATGAGGCAACAATTCAGTGCCAATATGCAAGTACAACCTTCTACACCTTGCCACATTTGGTTGGACCCTAACTATCATAATTTTAAGGAGGCTTCAGTGGCAGAACATTTGAGTTGGGATAAAGATTAGGCATATCAAGTTTGGGGACTATTTTTCAAGGTTGGGCAGATTTGCTTGATTGGTTTCTTTCTGTGATTTTGTATTTTTCCCTTATGTAGTTAAGGAGGGTTCCTTATCCTCCCATTTCTTAGTGTTTTTTTTCTTTAAATGAATTTCTTCTTTTACCCAAAAAGGAAAAAACATATCATTATAATCAAATTTGTACAAAATATATTAAAATTTAACAAACCTGTGTCATAAAACGGGGAAGCATAATCCTGAGTATTTGTTCAAGGACTTGCGTTCCAGCTGATTCAATTGCTTGCTTTGGTATTGCTTGGAAAGCAAAAGGGATTTCAATGCTTACCTGGACTCCACATAGCATCCAAAGAAACTTTTAACTTGAACCGCACAAACATAAAATTGCAAGAAAATGAAAGAAAAATAGAGTACTACCTCAATTATTGTGTCTGATGTGAGTTTCTGCACCAATGACTTATCAGAGTTACTATCACACGATATCCGGTTCACCATTATAGCTGCATTACCATATTAAAGTATTGAAAAGGCATTCCTGAAAGTAGC